TGTGTTTTGCAAACCTGTTTTGGTAATTCTGGTTTGGTATTTGGCACTTTTGACCTAGTTGTACTAGGATTTGGACTGAGAGGCCTTCTACATTGTTGTAGCTCTGTTTCTTGGCTTCGAAATGGTGGGTCTTACACCCCCATCCGATATTTGTAGTGAGAGTTGTGCCATTACCGCATTATGAGGTCAAATCCGGTTTTCTTATCAAGGCTTAGGTTAAAGCCCTTTCTTAATTTCTGGTTTGCTTTCATGCTTGTATATGTTTAAAAAACCCTAATGGGGTTGTGAATTGGTGTTGTTTATGGCTCGGTATGGTTTCTTGTTTTATGATATTGTGAGCCTATGGAACGGCTCTTGACATGAAATGCTTATATGTGTGTTGTTGAGTTGTGATTGAAGAAAAATAATGAAGCCTTATGGCTGGAAAATTTGGTAAACACAAAGGGCATGCTGCCCGAATTTCTAGGCCGTTTGGTTCTTTTAAGTTGGATTTGCCTTTTGGTAGAAATGAAAGGCTTTTGGGTTGTTTGCGCCTAAGTCTTCATGTTACCTTTTTGTTTCCAAGAAAATCATGTTTTCCACCCTTGCATTAGTAATTATTTTGGCGAGGCATACGACTAGTAGTCGAGCCTCATGTGCATTGTGTTTACCCGATTCTGGAAGTAAAACCTTCAATTGATTTATTTTGATTATTTTAGGGTTTCTTGGCGATTAAGGCCAATCTGAAGTGAAAACTTTTGAAGTTGAGCCGGTGAGTGTACCACTCCCCTCCATTGCTATTTAACTTGATTTCTGCTCTGCAATCTGTTTATTTGTTCGAGACGAGGGTGTACTTTATCACACTCGTTCTCTAGTCTGCTCATATGCCAATTTACTATGCAAAATTTGAATCTGTTATCTGTGTCTGCATCTGTTCGGATTTCTGTTCGGATTTCTATGACCTATGAGCTCAATCCTGTGGTTAAGTTATTCGAGTCGGGCCGGCAAGGGCCTGGACGATTAGATAACGAACCACGGTAGTCTGTTCGGGGATTTTGGGTATTGAGACCCTTGATTCCGGGTATACTCGAGTATTACCATTTTTGTTCGTTTGAGGTGAGCGGGCCCGGTAAAGGGGTGTTTGGTGGACGGAATTCGGTGATAAGAGGGGTCTACGGACGCATTGGTTCTATATACGTTGACGGAGAGTCAACCGGTTTGGATCAAGTATTGCGCTGGAAATTTGGCTCCTGAGAGCCACCCGTATCCTTCTGATTTGAATCATTGGTTCCTTTGCTTTACATCTGACATGTGTATCTGATTTGTTAAATGTGAAATGCCATGATTTTAATGCTATCCTGTTTGGTACCTCATTGAGCGCAAGCTCACCCCGTTCTGTTCCTTTTGTTTTCCTTACAGGAAAAATAAATACTTTTGGACTGGATTTGATAATCGGTTGCCGACTTGAGCTAGTTGAACATATCTTTTGTATAGCTCATGTATTAAAACCCTAAGTGTACTTTTTGGGCCGTTTCTCTTTTGATTTGGCAAACCGTGTATATGTATTATCTTTTGAAAGCTTTTGTATGTCATTTTGATTTGTAAACGCTAAAGATCAGATGAAAATGTTTGTTAGCTATTTCGGTTGGGTTCTGACGGGTCGGTTACTATTCATGGCCGGCTCCGGATTTCATCTCATTTTATCTTGGGTTGTTTTACTATTTTGATTTGTTTACGCGAGTTTGTAAGTTCCGGGTTGAAGCGGATAGCTCTAATCTGATCCGTAGTCCTGGCGAGAGCTGGGCAGGCAGTCCGCTAACCCCTTTGGTTCGCCTTAGGGGAAAGTGGGGCTGTTACACATAGCTACTGGTGAGAAAGTCTCATCATAATCGATTCCCTCTTTCTGCTTGTAGCCTTTGGCTACCAGTCTAGCTTTATAGGTAACCACATTACCATCCATGTCAGTCTTCTTCTTGAAGATCCATTTACACCCTACAGGTTTTATCCCTTCAGGTGGATCAACTAAGGTCCACACCTTATTGTCATAAATGGAATTCATTTCGGAATTCATGGCTTCTAACCATTTAGAGGAGTCTGGATTGCTTATTGCCTCTTGGTAGGTAGTAGGTTCGTCATCTTGAATGACTAGAACATCATTGCTATGACTCACAAGAAATTGGTATCTCTTGGGAGTTGAGCGTGTTCTTACTGACCTACGAAGCCCTTGTGTATCAACAGCTTCAATATCTGCCCCATCATTATGTGGTTGAAGCTGTTCTTCATCAGGTCGCTCAATGTTTGTTGGATGATCCTGAATTTCTTCAAGATCTATTCTACTCCCACTGCTTCTTTCTAGAATATATTCTTTCTCTAGAAAAATAGCATGTTTTGAGACAAACACCTTTTGCTCAATTGGATTGTAGAAATAGTATCCTATAGACTCTCTTGGATACCCTACAAACAAACATTTCTCAGATCTAGCTTCAAGCTTGTCTGACTCTGCCCTCTTCACATAAGCTGGGCAGTCCCAAACCTTCATGTAAGACAGATTTGGTTTTTTTCCTTTCCATATCTCATATGGTGTGGAGTCGACAACTTTAGTGGGTACTCTATTAAGAGTATAAGAGGCTGCATCTAATGCAAATCCCCAAAACGATTTTGGGGCACTTGAGTGGCTCATCATAGAACGAACCATATCCAATAAGGTTCGGTTTCTCCTTTCAGATACACCATTTAACTGTGGTGTACCTGGAGGAGTCCATTGTGGAACTATTCCATTATCCTTTAAATAAACTCCAAACTCGTCATTTAAGTATTCTCCACCACGATCAGATCGTAGTGTCTTAATACTTTTATTGGTTTGTTTTTCTACTTCATTCTTGAATTCCTTAAACTTTTCAAAGGATTCAGATTTGTATTTCATTAAATACACGTAACCATATCTCGAATGGTCATCTGTGAAGGTGATGAAGTATGAAAAACCATCTCTAGCAGTGATCGACATTGGGCCGCATACATCAGTATGTACTAACCCAAGTAAATCACTGGCTCGTTCCCCTTTTCTAGTGAAGGGCATTTTGGTCATTTTGCCAAGTAAACAAGCTTCGCATGTATCATATGATTCATAATCAAATGAATCCAAGTATCCATGTTGGTATAACTTGGAGATGTGTTTTTCATTTACATGACCAAGCCTACAGTGCCAGAGGTAGGTTTTATTTAGTTTATCTGTTCTCATTCCTTTTTTACTCACATTGAGAATTTGATGATCAAGATCTAGAATATATAAACCGTTATTCCAACTTCCAGAACCATAAAACACACTATTTTTAGAAAAAGAACAACATTTATTCTCCTGGGTTATCCGAAACCCATTTAAATCCAAACAGGAAATAGAAATGATGTTTGTAGTAAGTGCTGGAACACAATAACAATTTAATAATTCTAAAATCAATCCACTGGGTAAAGTGATATAATAAGTCCCTACAGCTAAAGCAGCAACTTTTGCTCCATTGCCCACACGTAGGGTGACTTCTCCTTTTCCCAGCTTTCTACTGTCCCTTAGACCCTGCATAGATGTGCAAATGTGAGAACCACATCCGGTATCTAATACCCAAGAGTCTGATTTGGAAGTAGACACATTAATCTCAATCATATATGTACCTGATGATGAAGCTTCAGCAAGCTTCTTTTGCTTCAGGCTCTCCAAGTATGACTTGTAGTTCCTTTTCCAATGTCCAGTTTGATTACAATGGAAGCAGGTTGCTTTGGACTGGTCCGCCTTTGCCTTTTTGGGCTTTTGGGTGGGCTTGTTTTTGGATTTCTTAAATCCCTTTTCTTGCCTCTTCCTTGTGAGAACCCCGAAAATATATATATATATATATATATATATATATATTCATGCATATTTCACTTGCATTTTGATTCTTTAATAAATTCTAGCATTATTTCTACTTGTCTTTAAATAAGTGCATAAAAACAATTTTTATGTGATAAATAATATAATTGTGCCAAAATATTAAAGTACTTGGTTTTGTCAAGATAAATTAATATTTCTTGATGTAGATTATTTATTGCCTTAATATTAATTCCTTGAATGTCGATAGCTAACTTTAAGTGTTAATAATGTTAAGTGCTATCGGAAACCTTAGAATTAAGAAGGAATCGATTCTAGGTCAAAACCCTTTATAATTACACCTAGGACGTTAAAATCTCGATAATTGAATTTTTGCGAGATTAGTATACTAGTAAGTAGTCAAATTTCATTTGGGGTAAATTTTCGGAATTAGATTACGAATGAGGACTTAAGTGAAAATTCGGACAAGATGTGAAAAGATTTAATTAGCCTTCTTCCATCTCGAATTAACCAGGCATGTATTATTTCCATTTTCACCGTTAGAATTATTAAATACTAATTCATAGATTAATTAACGTTTAAATTTAAAACGTATAAAACAAACTGTACGAACCAAATAAAAACATGGGGTATACCGTAACTGGTATGAATTAAATATATTTTAGTGCTAAGCTACTTGTTTTATTGATTTCCTAAAAATTAAATGTGTGAGAATTTATGAGATTAAGGAGATAGAAATAAGATTAGGAGTTAACAAGTGAGTTAAGGAAAAATTTCAGTTTGGTAAAAAAAAATGATATAATGTTAAAGGACTAAACTAACCCTTCACTCTAGCAAATTCACCATGCGACCAGTGGACTATGGATTGAGTGGAAAGCTTAGGAATCATCAAACCACTAACTGAAGAAGCCTTGTGTTCCTACCTTGATATTAACGGCTGAGGGGAAATAAAAGAAAGAAAACGGAGAGCAAAGCTTTCACTCCATCTTCATACCCAAAGCCGTGAGAAAGAGTGAGAAAGAGAACTCTGCATTTTTTTTCTTAGGCAGCAACAACCGAGACACAAAACAGAGCATCCGAATAGCTTTTCCATTTCTGCATTCTTTAACCGACCAAAAACCGAGAGCTAAAGTGAAGGATAGGAAGAGAAACTTTGTTAGCTTCTTCACTGATTAGCTCCAACCGAGAGGAAGAGTGAAAGCTGCTGCAATTTTAAGAGAAACATTAGTCAGAGTTTCCCTATGTTTTGCTCCATTTAGCCGAGATAAAAGTAGAGAGAGTGGAGAGAAAAAAAACTGGTGTCTTGCTTCCTGTTTTAGCCAAGAGAAAGGAGAGAGAGTTAAGAGGAAATCTGGAGGCTTGCTCCTTGTACCAGCCAAGTTAAAGTAGAGAAAGTTGGGGGGGGGGACATTTAGTGGCTTGTTTCCTTGCTCCAGCCAAGAGAGTTAGCGAGTGAAGGAGGAGAGGAAGCTGCTCATTCTTCAAGCTTGGACCAAGGAGAAAGAAAAGGAAGGAGAGCTTGAGCTGGAAATTTGTAGCTTTAATTCGATAATCTGAGGTAATATGAGCTCAATCATGCATTTAGTGTCGCGCCCCACTTTTGAAATGGTGTGAGTGGATTGTGTGGTGTGTGGTGTGCAATGTGAAAAGTAAAAGGCCGTGGGACTTATAATGCGACGATTTGGCCAAGTGAAGTTCAAAAGGGTTTTTTGTATCAAAAATGGAGTCGCCACTTGGTATAGAGTTAGGGTGTACCAAGTCACCCAAAAATGATTTTTGTTTTTGAATAAAAAGTAAATAAACCCTTTTTGAGAACTTTTGGGTCTACGTAACCAAAAGAGGGATCGGGGGTCACATTTGACGAAGGGGAAGGCAAGGATAAAAATCCAAGGCACCCCTTCGACCTAGCCAAGGCTAGTTGCGTGACTTAAACCAATTTTCCCTAATTTTTTTTTACCCAAGGTATGTATCGCGTATTGGATATGTCTATATGAATGCAAAAACCTAGACCTAGGGGGATTGGGGGAAATTTCTCTTCAAAGGTTGAGTGGTGCCAATCACATTAATTGTGAAGCCCAATAATGATCCTTTTGGAGAGGTCATACCTAAACCTAAATGACGTGAAAAATGAGTGGAATGCATGCCATGTGAAAGTGTGAGTTTGTGTGAAGTGAGAAAAATGATAAAAGTAATAAGATAAGAGTGAAGGTGTGCAAATGTAGATGAAAGTACTCGTGTGCGAGTGAAAGTGATAAAAAGGTGCATGTGTGCAAATGAGACAAAAGTGAAAGTGTAATGATAGAGTGGATTGAGAATGCATGAGCCTAGGGAATTCATGCATATTGGGTACGGGGAGACCTAAATCGTGACTTGATTTTCCCTTTGATTAGAAGGCGAAACTAGCGTGCTAAGGCTATCGAGTAGCCACACTCGCTCGTTTTCCTTATCGGAAGGGGACACTCAAGCAAAATGAACCCTATAGCTAGTATGGGATGCAAAACCTAAAATGAGGGGAAAAGGGGGTCGAGGATCATGCCAAATGATAAAACTAAGGAAAAATGCATGATATGTAGTGAACAGGCAAATGATGTGCTAACGAGGGGAAATCCCTAAGGGTCTAGCGTTGGACTAGCCCATTCTATGAATTCCGACTAGCGCTGGACTAGCGGAAACGTACATTCATCCATTCCACTCATTCATGGCTATGAAAGCAAGTAGACATGCCAAAACACTCGTAAACACATAGCACATAGCACTTAGCATGCTCGACTAGATGCAAGGCCCTAACAAAGCATTAACACGTAGTAACTAAGCATGCAAGACACATAAGACAATTAAAGCCCTAACTATTACATTTGCTAGCTAGGCACATGACTTCGATAGGTCTTCATTGAATGCTCCTCCAAGCCCTATCTATTACATTAGGGAGACCCTACTACAATCTAAAAGGGGGAAAAGGAATAAAATAATTAAATCCCTAACTATTACAAGCCAAGAGGTGTACACATACCCCAAAATGAATAACTTAAAATAAAAAGCAAAAGTAAATAAAATAAATGAAAGAATTGAGGAAAGACAAGGAAAGCAAAGTAGACATGCATATTCACATAACACGTAGGAGCACGTAGGAAAAATAAACTCAAGAATATAGAAGTTACCTCCCTTGCAATGGAAATCGAGTAAATGAGATATTAGCTTCAAAACAATAAAAAGGTCAAGGTACCAATTTATTTGACAAATAATCACGAAGGAAAAAAAAAATAAGCATGAATTTGAATCAATTAAATCATGTCAACAACCCACATTTAAGAAGTCAAGAGAAGAGAGGACCTGATTGCAAAGATTGTCAAAATTTTGGGGTCAAAATTAAAGAAAAATAAAGTTCAGGGACCTATTTGCAATTAAAGTAAGGACCCAATTGAATGAAATTGAAAATGTCTAGGGCCACAGTATAGTTAAAAATAAATCCAGGGACTGGTTTGCAAATCCAGTTATCAGATTGCTTAAAACAGGCCATTGGGCCATTAATTTATTTGTTTGGGCCAAAGCTTCCCCTCAGCCCAATCGAAATCCAGAACAAAAAGGGAATGGGCTATTTATTTGTTCGTTTGGGCCAGACCGTTCCAAGCCCAATCGGAAATCCCAAAACAAAAGGGAATGGGCCATTGTCACCTTTCTTGGGCCAAAATCACTTGGCCCAATCGGGAGTCCAAGGAAAAACAAGTGGGCTAGTATATTATTTTGACCCCAAGAATAATCCAACAGGACCGATAGGCTTTAACCCTTCAGCCCAACGGAAGTCCGAAACAAAAAAATAAATGGGCCAGCCTATTATTTATCAAGTAAAACCCAACCAAATTAATCAACAACCCAATCCTAAAATCCAACCAAAAGCTTTGAATTTTAACCTTCTTAGGCCCAACAAGAAACCCAACAAAATAATCTAAACCAAATCCCTTAAACCCAAGTCAAAAGAACCTTTCAACCCAAATCACACATTTCACCAAAACCCAACATGATAAAATCAAATAAAATTATTAAACCACAATCATAACCTACAAACAAGAATTAATCTAGTTAAGAGACTACTCATGCATATTAGAAGATGATTGAAATCTAAAAGGGAGAAACAAATTTATTTTTTTCCAATTTTTCGGGTCATATCAAAATAAGGGGGGGACTTGAGAGGCTCAAACAAAACAAAAGTAGGGACCTAATTGAGGGATTAATCAAATCAGCCGGGCTGTGATAAGATTGCTCATGGTTCAGGGGCCGAAATTAAAGAAAAATAACGTCCAGGGGTCAATTTATGATTAAATCATGACTTAAGTGAACAAGATCTGGAAGTTATGTGGGCTTGCATGTGATTTCATCAAAGGTCAGAGGTCAATTTGAAATTAATTCATGACCTACTTGCAAGAAAAAGCAAATCATTCAGGCCATTATAAAAATACTCAAAAGTTAGGGGACTGGAACTGCAAAATCAAATGATTAATCATCTTCTCCGAACAATCAAAACGTTAGCTTCCAATTCAGCTTTCTTTTACAGACAAAAACAGCAACAAATTTCAACTAGTGCTCATTTCCAAAAGAGAAATACAACTAGCACAAGTCCATACAAAGAAACCCGATCATTCCCAATTCTAAATGGAACTCCAGTTCCTACGAGGGAAAGGCTAACAAACAGAACAGAAATGAAAACAAGAGAGAAGCGTCTGAACATGAACATCTCTTTGCCGCATCTCACACACAGACACGCACAAGATTCATTAGTTTTTTGCCGCTTTGACTCAAACGTTTTCTATCAGGCATTTCTTCAAACAGGTTAAGGGCATTAGAAAATTTCATCAAATTCTTGTTCAGATTAAAGTCAATCAGCCCCAAAATTTGTTCAGAAAAAACAACAATTTTCATTCCAAACAATCACAGAAAGCATTCATGAGCAATTAGTATAGAAATTGAAATAGCAATTTCACAGAAGACACTTTGAAGGCAGTTGAGACACAGACGGAGGAGTTACCTCACCATGGCCATCTCACGGTAGCAGATTCGCAGGCGGCAAGCGGCAGAATCCGACGAGGAGGTGGCGGCTACGGTTCTTGAGCAGGCGGCTGGTGGCGATAGCGGACAGCAGCGGCAGCAGACGCGAACTGGTGGATTCCGTTCGGCAATCTCTTTTCCCAGATTTCTTTCTTCCTCGCTCAGACCCCTTTTCTCCCCTCTGTTTTTCAGCCTTTCTTTGGTTCTGTTTTTCTTTTTGCTCTGTTCCTCGAGCCCCCAAACCCCTCTCGGCCTTCCTCGGCCTTTCTGTTTCAGCCGTAACTCCTTCCCCATTTCTTCCGCTGCCTTGCCCTGTTTTTTCCCTTTTGTTTTGGCCGAAGCCCCCTTTCTCTGTTTTTCATCGTCGAGAGCTCTCTCGGCTCTCTCTATCCCCTCTTCTTGTTTGCCATAAAAATCATATTCCCTCTACTTGTTTTTCCAGATTTTTGCCTTTGCTCTTGCTTTCTTTCTTTGCCGAAGCCCCCCTCTCTCTGGTGTCCTTTTCTTTTCTCTGCTTTGATCACTGAAGCATCCCCTTTTCCTTCACTTGTTAGTTTCCCCGCAGCTATCTCACGCCGCCGCCCCTCTATTTCTCTTTTTTCTTTTTCTGTTCTGCCCAAGCCTTTGTCCTCCTTGCTCTCCCTCGGCTCTCCTCTGTTTCTTTTGCTTCTTTTTTCCGTTTTTTCCTTTCCTCCGCCGCCTCTCTGTTTTTCTTAATTTTTCTTTTGTTTCTTTTTGTTGTTTTCACTCTCTCTCGCTCGTCTTTCTCTACCCGAAAAACTCCCCCAACTTCAGATTTTTCCTCTGTTCTTGCCCTCTGTTTTTCCCTAGCCTCCCTTTTCCTTAGTCTTTTTTCGGCTCCTCTATCCTTGTCCGCCGCCCCTCTGTTTTTCAGCCTCAAAAACCCCCAAAGCCTTTTCAATCTTTTCCCTTTCTAGTCGTAGCTCTCCCCTCAAGCTCTCATTTCTCTGTTTTTCTCCCATCCGTGGCCTCTTTTCTTTTTTTTCTTCCCATTCTCAAACCTCCCTTCTAAGCTAAACAAGTGTCCTCCTAAATGTTGTGTTGTCAATTAAACAAAAGGGACACTTGTCCCTCAAATTCCTTAACCACTTGTCCCATGATTGTTTTGTACACTTGTTCAACATGCACACTTCCACCTATTTTTGCCATTTTCATTCTTTTCCTTTCATTTTTCATTTTCAAGAAATTCTATGCTAAAAACTTAAAAATACTAATAACACAAAAAACTAAAAAAACTAAAAACTAAAAAGTGAAAAAAACGAGCACAGACTAAAAAATAATTAGTAAATGAAATTACCAAAATTTGGTGTCTACATTTAGCTAACTAAAAACTAGATGATTGTGCTTTGCATGAGGTTATTCGGTCCTGAATTAGAAAGAAAAATTGAAGCAGAACAGAATCTAGATGCATGCAAGCGAACCGAGAAGACCTTGATAGAATTCTGGTTGGTTGTTAATTTTCTGGATGATGTCCGAACCTGATTTTGAATTAAACCTGATTTTGGAATTTAAAACCGATAGTTAGTTAGTTAATTGGATCATGCATGCTGCTGAAATGAGCCGAGGATGAAAAAAAAAAAGGAAAATCTGAATTCTTAGAATGGTTGCGAATTGAGCTAGCCGTGATATTTTTTTTATGTTCTTGGGCTGAGTTGTTAGCTGATTTGTTGTAACAGATGATTGTTAGATGCTAAGAGCTAATGATTGATGAAGCTCTTTGCTATTTGAGTGATTTTCACGAGCGTTAAATTTTTGATGGAATTAATTGCTGGAATTACATGTCATTACTCCTAGTTGGTTGATAAACCACTTGCGGTTTAGTCGATGGAATTTCTTGGCATTGGAACGGATACTTTGGAATATAAATTGCTGGAAAATGTTTAATCTGCATTTGTTTACGTGTAATGAGATTATTGGTGGCAATCTTGGATAAGAGATTGTTGCAAATCCTGTCCTTGGTTTCAAATACATGTTAGTGACTTTAAACATTCGAAGTTTTGGTTAATCTGTTGTAATAAGTAATTGTTGGATACCAAGCGCTAATGATTGACAAAGCCTTGGTCAGTTGTTTAAATTTCGATTAGAAATGAATATGTTGAAACCTAGGGCTAATGATTGACGAAGCCCTAGTGAAATTGCTGGCTGAAATGTGATTTTGCTATATTGGCAAATTTGAGTATAATGTGTGAGAACCCTAACCTACCATAACTTTCTAGGCCTTTTACTTATTTTCTTTTCCCCCTTTTTAGTGAAAATTTGTTAACCCTTTTGTGTAAGCAATGGAAGGTTCGTTGTTACATGGATTGTGTGTGAGATACGTATGCATGTGTATGTATTAGAAGTACGATTGAGCGTGGCCTTCAAACTTGGAAAAGAGGGAAAATTTTTCGAAAAGGCTGAAGGGGCCCAATCCGGCCGGAAATCCGGCCAGTTCTTGGCCGGATTGTTGTGCAGTTTTGAAAAAAAATTTGTTTCGTCTCGGCCTCATATCCGGCCAGGAATCCGGCCTGGAATCCGGCCGGATTGTGACAGGACAGCTGGTTTGACCAGCGTTTTTCTTCCTTCTTATCACTTTTGATCACCAAAATATCTCATTTCTTCCCTTGTTCAGCCGGCTAGCTTGAGAGAAAAGAAAGAAAAGCCTTTCAAATTCTAGTTTCAATTTTCTCTTGAATCTTGAGTTTTCACCGATCGATTTTCAATTCACTCCACATAAGGGCTCATATGGGAGGTTTGAAGAGGTTGAGGGATTGATTTTGAAGGGGAAGCTTTTAATTGCTAGTCTTCTTGAGTTGTGAGGTAAGTTGAATAAACAAGTTCCTTGTGGTTCTAATATGGGTTAATCTAGGGTTTGTGATGTTTGAATATGTTAAATTGTGGAGTATTTTATGGGTTTAAGGAAATTATGATGAATTTCTGATTTATTGGGTATTTTATGGGTTTAAGGAAATTATGATGAATTTCTGATTTATTGGGTATTTTTCTGATTTTAAATGATTATGATTAGTTGGCTTGAATTGATGGATTGAAATGGTGTTAAATGAAGTGATTGTGCGTTAATTGTGATCGTTTGCGGAAAATTTACGCAATTGTGGTTAATTACTATATGCTTGGGTATTTGATTGTAGGATGGAAAGGATGAATTTATGGGGAAATGCTGTCCGATTTTGAATAGCGTTGGTGACTTTGAGTTTAAGTTAAAAGGCTTGGACTTGAATGATGAAATTTTCTTTATTGGACGAGGATTGTGAGCCGTAGAGATGAGTGACCTCAAACTATTTCCAACGTTACCTTTGAAAGGTTTCTTGCATCGTTTCTTTGATTGCATATCCTGTGTGCCGGCATATAAGTTCTTGACATGTTTTGGCTCAAATGAGTACTTGGAATTCGTGTGCTAGACCCCAACGTCTCCTCCACCGTTTAATGTTCCTGTAGAGCACCAATGGGCTCTTTCTCAATGTTCAATGTTAAATGTTCAATGTTAAATGATTGTTTGGAGCATTGGACGTCTAAGTACCATGATTTCACTGGCTCACGAGAGCAATGAAAGTGCATTGATTACTGAATCATGACATTATTGAAATGAATGATTGTGAAACTGATTTGATAACTGATTTTATTGGTTACTCGCTGAGCTTCTAGCTCACCCCAAAATGTTTTATTCCCCTCCACAGGGCTCAAGGCGAATGAGTGGCTTGTAGTGCTCATTCATGGATTATCTCAATTAGGATTGAATTTGGATTTCCTTTTGTGTAATCGCTCATATTGGGATTGTATTGAACGTTTAGTAGTTGTGGACTTCCTCCTGTATCATAGTTGGTATCAAGGATCAGAGTGGCGCAGTGGAAGCGTGGACGCTTCGCTTTTGATATGTAAAGTTTTGGAACATTTGAGTTATATTTGAGATTGTATATTGTAATTTAATTGAGGACTGTAGTGAACGACTGAGTCCCGGCGAGAGCTGGGCAGGCGGCCCGCCGAACCCTCTGGTTCGCCTTAGGGGGAGGTGGGGCTGTCACATAATGTACATGTGAATTGGAACCGTGAAGTCCGTTTTGGTCCTTGGAACTTGAGCACTCTTAAACTAAGCTTTGTTGAAATATTTTACCCTAGTATCGAACTATAAAAATTTGGTATAGAACGATAACGTTAGAAATTCGTGTGTCGGGATTTTAAAACCTTACCAACTAGCTATCTCTTTCTTTGGCTTAAACTAGCTTTATTATTTTTAGAAAAATAATTGCACAAAATTCTAAACTCTAGGTTTTTCGAAAAATTGTCCCGACTAGTTATTTTAGAGGAAAATTGTCAAAAACACGAGATTTGAATGATTTTACAGGAAAGGCGTAGGAAACTTGTTCGGCAAGAAACCCTACGAAACATTTTAACACTTTTACTAGTTTTAATTTTAAGTAAATTGTTGAGTCATTTTTGGAAAAGATAAACTGGTATATACCAAATAATATTTCCTACGAAAACCTACAACTTGTATAGCAAAACTTATAGTTTTTAAAACTTGATATTTTAGGGTTTAGCGAGGACGTGGACTTCGATTCCCAGCTTGACCTGTGACTTCACTCTTGTTGAGTGTCCCTGCTTGTTTTATGACTATTTGGTTACAGTGCTTTCTTGACTCGATATATGATAATTGCAAAGTGGTTTTTGATCCATCGAAGTGAGCAGTGTGTACTTTATCACACTAGCCGTTCGAGTGGTGACTTGTGTGAAATGTTTTCGTGAATATCTCAAGTGTTGTGACGTCGTTGGGTAAATCCCTCGACTAGTTTGTGACGTCGTTGGGTGAATCCCTCGACTAGTTTATCCAAAGGGTATACTCGAGTATTACCGCTTTCTTATTTGGTGTGCGGGCCCGGGACAGGGGTATGATTGGTGTCGGAGTTAAGAAAAAGAAAAAGATCTACATGGACCGTAAGTAGTGAGAGTTGACGGAGTGTCGACTACGGTAAATTTTGATCAAGCGTGGAGAATGGCTCCTGAGAGCCCCTGTATCCTACCTTGTGCTGTTATACGCTTTCCTATTTGTTTACTTCAGTTGAAATCAATACGTGTTATTTGTTTTATTTGATTGCATGTTTTGGGGCACCACTGAGTTTTAGGTCACCCCACGTTATTTGTTTTCCTTGACAGGTCCTGGCACTTGAGAAAGATTTGAACTCTACTTTTACTTTGTATGGTTGTAATTCGTATTAAACAATGTAGCTTTTGTTTAGGGTTGCCACTTGAAGCTGGAAAAGTGCAAACCCTAGATTGGTTATGTGGCTTGTATGAATTTGTTACTTGGCTTGTACGAATGTATTTGAATTGTATGTTTTGTTTCATGGTTTGTAATCGGGAAGGTATCCTAAGAATCGACGATTAGCTATCTTATAGTGCTGTTATCTCTGAAGCTAATGTGGTTTTAGTTATCGGCCTATTTGGAGGGAAACGATGTTGTAATAGATTAGGTTATACTTCGGAAGGATTTTACTAGCTTGCTTGCGTGAGTCCTGGCGAGAGTTAGGCAGGCGACCCGCCAACCCTCTGGTTCGCCTTAGGGGGAAGTGGGGCCGTCACATTCCTCTTCTTAGAGGAAGTAACGACAAGCACACCAGTAGAGCCTTTTCCCTTTTTGATTTCTTTCTCAGCAGTTTTCAGCACATTCAACAATTGAGGCAAAGTGTGCTGCAGATTATTCATCTGATAGTTCATAACAAACTGTGAGAAAGAATCTGGCAGAGATTGGAGCACTAAATCAACATTCAGCTCCTGATCCATCTTAAAGCCTAATTCGACCAAATTTTCAATTAGCCCAATTATTTTTAAGACATGCGGAGCAACAGGTGCTCCCTCTGCCATCCTGCACCTGAACAATTCTTTAGAGGTATCATATCTAACCGTCCTTGATTGTTGTTCAAACAACTCTCTCAGGTGTTATACAATATCATACGCCCCCATGTTCATGTGCTGCTGCTGAAGCTGAGGAGTCATGGAAGCTACCATGATACATGAAGCTTCCATATTGTCATCCTTATGTTTCTTATAAGCATTTCTAACAGCAGCAGGTGCAGTAGGTTCAGGCTCTTGAGGCATTGGACCATCAAGTACATACTCAATTTTCTCATGAGTGAGAACGATAAGGACATTACGATGCCAATCAAGAAAGTTCGTGTCGTTGAGTTTGCAATCAGTAAGAATAGTACAAAGGCTCAAATTGTTACTCATTCTACAACAAAGTGAAAGATAGAATTTGTTAGAAAAATGTTTTATTTAATAAAATCATAAAAACTTCAAAATTATGATTTTATTTCCACTATTTTTTTTTCAAGTCAATTACCCTCTAAAATTGAATCGAGAATTTCTAAAATTCCATAGTGGCTAGGATCCTATCTTAATTTATTTCGACCTTGAGTGTGTCCCAACAAATCGAAAATAATTATGAAAGGTAGGTACTTTTACCAATTACAACTTATTGTAATTCCTAGATCAGTTGGGTGTCAACTCTTGACTTTAAATCTCTATGAATCAACCCAACACTTGCCTCTAAAATTAATGATTTTGAGTGAATCCCAACAAATCATAATTTTAGTTAAATCAAACCCATCATTCTTGAGGACATTTCTCATAGCAAAAACACGTAGTAAGTAAGGCAGCCTTGGGTGAATCCCAACAAGCTAGCACTTAATAACTACTCTAGTTTTATGCTATAATGATGGAAGGCATTTTATTGATTTAATATTATAGTTGAGGGATTTGTCTCTCTTTTCCAAAAATATTTTATAATTAAAATTTTTGAAAAAAAAGTGCTCATTTGGTCTCATCAATAAACATGCATATCACCATTTCAAAAACGTATAAACATGAATTTAAATCGTGGATGGTTGTGGATATTCCTAAACTAATTTCCCCGGCCATTAGGAAAATTAGCATGTGACTAAAAATCTTTAATACCGAGACGAACCCCTTCGTTGTAGTATGCCTCCTTTCTTCTTTTCAAAGTTACAATTTCTATATAAATTATATAAATTCCTATCATCTATTCCTATCTATTGTACATTACAAATAGTATAGAAGAAACCCCGAGTTACATTCGGGGGGAATTTAGATGAGAAAAGAAATTACAATTAGAAAATAAGAAAGGCAGGACACGCAGGCCCTATTTTAAAATTAATTACAACCATTCAAACCTAGAATGATTGTAACCTTCCAAAATACCACAATCATATTGCGTACTATATCCACAACCATCCACCATGCATTTTCATAATTTAAACAACTTTAAATAAAAGAAAAGCATGTAAAATAAGCAATCTCAATTCATGGATTAATTGGATTTAATTCCTAAGGTCCCAAACAAAATTTGGGTCCATGCATATGCGAGAAATTTTGGTAAAATTAATTTTTATTAGGTCATTGTTATTCCTAACTAAATTAGGAAAATAATTGGAAAGATGATTTCAATTAATCAAATTAATTGTGAATCAATTCCCAACCTAATAAATATGAATAATAGATCCCATAACACATTTTAACAATTAAAAAGGGATCTAATTCAAAAAAATTGTCAAAAGTTTTAAAACTTCAAATTCTCAAAACAATAGTTTCCTAAACAACTACTGCTCTTGTTTTCTAGCACTTCCGGCAACTACCACTGGACACCACCATTTCAGCCACCACCGCTGAGGTCTCCACTGACCATCAACGGCAAAAACTCCCAGCGGCAGCCACCAGGGTGATCACTGGAAGCAACCACTCGGCTACAACACCAAGTTGCAAGGTTTTCCCGTGCCTGATTGCTGCTGCTCTTCGTTATCGCGCCTGTTTGCTGGATAGCGGAGCTACCACCGCAACAGCCACCACCACTGGAGTCTCCACTGACCACCAGTGGCAGCGGCTCCTGGTAGCAGCCACCGGAGGTCATGGGCAGCAACCATGAGGAGGCTGCTGTGCCCTTGCCGATGCCTGCAGCAAATTTGTTGCGCTTTTGCCACAGAGAGCTCATAGCTCTTCTACCCAGCAACCACCACCAGGTCGTACAATCTCCCACTGCCACCAAGGAAAACCACCATGGCCTCACATGGCAGCAGCAGCTGGCGGCAGCCCTTGCAGCCGCAACATCGCAGCAGCCGCAGGTATGCAGTTGCAAAGCTGCTATATCATTTTTTTTTCAATGATCATCCTGCAACTTTTGCAGATGATCAACTCAAATCCACAGGTTAAGCATATCCACGGAAAGAAAAAAAACAAGCGTCTACGATCCAACAACAGCTCCATCCGAGCTTCCATAAGAGAAGACGTACGTAGCTTCAAAAGCTTCGTAAGAAAACTCCTTTTTTTTTTGTTTTGAATAACCAAAAAATAATAATTCTCCCATAATTCCGCATATTCAATTAAATCCAATTAGTAATATTAATCCATGAATCCAAAATTGCCTAAAATCATACGTAAAATTCTTAGGGATGGCTCTGATACCACTGTTGGATTTTAGGGATACTACGCAGCGGAAAAATAAAAAATTTTTCCTAAAACCATCCAGGAATCACCCTAGATTTTACGTATGATGTACTAAAAGTAGGGTTTTAGGATTACCTTAATCCAAGCGGCGTCTCCCTGCAGCATTGTTTGAGGATGGTCAGCCCTTGAGCAGTCCAATCATCCTACCTCTACTGATATCCACGCTAGAGAAACCCTGGATCGTCTCACGAACTATGTATTGAAGAGAAAAATGTGCTAGCCTTTTTACTCTTTTCAAACGTATATTTTTTCTCTCTCTCTCGTATGTGACAATCACAAAAACCTCCTTTTAGTATCTGTATCTCAGCCCCAAACATCAATTGGAGAGAGAGAGAGAGATATATGATAATATAGAATGATGAGTCTTCTTGTCTGATTCAAAATCAAAACAATAAGACTTCTCATCACACAAGACTCTATCTATCATTATCTGATAGATGAGAGATAACCATTTACTCTTATCTGTTCAAATAGGTCTGGGATTAATTTTCTTTTAAAATTAAACCCCGACAATTTACATAGTTTCAATCCAGGATTAAATCTCTATTGCGTGTGACCCAATAGGTCCCGAATGCATTGGTAATAATTATGGTTTAATAATTTGATAAAATAAACGACTTTATTTTATCATAACTTATAATAAATAATTAATCCATAATTATAAATCACGAGCGGTGTCTAGCAACACATCGCGATTGCCCAATTATTCGGAATTAGTCAAGAGAATTTGACCTAACCTTTCCGTGAAAAATTACCGTGTAATTATTATCCTTTCACCAAAGATATCCAATTAGTCAGGAATAAGGAATAAGTGCCAATTCCCTGATGACTAATTGAATTTTCTAGTTCCCGAAATTTACCCTTAATTAGGTTAAATTGAAGACATTCTTCAATTTACCTAATAGTCGACTTTAGGGTTAATTTCTCACTAGTGGCCATCCGGATATCAACTCCTTCTATCGGAGTGATAAATCCTATCTCAATCACCCATTGTCTTTACATGCTTCACACTACATCCAACTTCTACACTTTAAGGCACTTACGAAGAGTAACAAGTAATTAGAGTCAAAATGTAGCGATTCACACTCAAGATATTATGGTGATCTCAAGTCGTAGGATCACTTACATAATTTTTCACTAGAGATACACCATTGGCACTAGATAGATATCCTAACGGGATCTCTAAATGGAACAATCCAATGCATTTGTACTTTTCAAATCATCTACACATTAGCCTAGGTATCATCATACCATAGTTGATGAGAACAACCACTAATTACATTAATTAGAGGCTAACTGTGTACTAGTTTTACCGTACTAAAGATGTCCTATTTCATTAGTACTATAACTAGGGAATTTTAAGAATATTACTATAAAAGCGATTGATATCTCATAGTCATCAACTCTTGTGACTACCATCACATTAGTAAACATTCTAAGGATTTTATCAGTTATATCTAATATTTAACAGATAAATAAGAAGTTAATAAAATACAAAACATATAATTTAGGAATGTATAAAATAAAAACAAATACATTGTTTTAGGGCATACATTCCAACAGTTTGTTCAGGAATCCATTCCCAATTCTGATTTGATGATGTTTGATCGTCATTAGTTTGATTACTGGATATCTCTTCGTGGGAAGTTTGTTCCCAATTAGAATATCCATCAAAGAGATAGTTTTTGCTCTTCTGGATTGTATGATGATGAACTTCCTTCACCTGCCATGTTTCTGCAAAAAGAATTAGTTAGTTTAAAAAGTTGGGATATTATCCCTTTATAGATAATTTGGAAAGGAGTCAATTGGTTGAGAAATGATGCTCCTAAAATGATATGGTTAGTCAAATATTTGGTCAAAAAAGAAGGTATTTGAGAATTGGTTGTTATGAGGAATTCTAAAAGTTGGATTGGAATAAGGTTTTCAGGAATATAGTTTTGGTCTGACCCTGTATCAACTAGGGCTTTTGTTTCGATTACATAATTATCAAGAATTAGTAATCGTATATGAATCAAGTCTTCTTGAAATAACTGAGAATTGTTATTCAGGTTCCTAGGGTTAAATGTTTTTTGTAAGGACATAGGTTGAATAAGGAATCTGTCAAGAATTTCCTGGAAACCATAAGTTTTTGGTTTACAAGAATTTTGTCTAGGAATTTTTTCTGGAATGTCAAAGAAAAGATCCTCTAAAGGATTCAAAATTTGGTTCGAGTATGGTTGTCTTATTTCAAGAATATCTTCAATGAAAAGAAGGTTATAATTTTTGGTTATCATATGTCCTTCTTTTTCATCTTCATCACTGTTTGGGAAAGAAGATGTTGAAATGTATTTGTCATAATCTTCCTTTCGTTCAGATTTGAAAATATCTGATTCGATTAGAGGATTTGACAATTGGGCTGCTAGTCTTAAAATATTGAATTTTTGGTTGTATTGGAAATGTTGGATTGTGTATCTGAGTAGATGGATTTTGAAAATGGATAAGGCTAGCTATTTTGTAGAAGGAAAAAGGGTTTTGAAACTCATAGGTTGGGGTTGTTTATTGGGCCTTGTATGGTAACTCAATGGCCCAAACTGTTCGTAAAAGGATCCAAGATTTCTTCCTTGGGGCTGACCTTCCGTCGGATTGGGAAGCCAGTCAGCTTGTTGGTTCTGTTCACAAGTTGTTTCTTTCCAAGACTTAATCTTCTTGTATTGGGATTCAAGAAGGCCTTT